CCACACAGACGCAGCAGCCAACACCGGTTTCGCAGCCATTTTCGGGAACCACTGGTTTAGGGGCCACTGGCCCACTGAGACGGATGCCTTGCCAGGATTCAGGGAGACCTCAGCCCTATTTGAAATTTACCCCATCGTGGCGGCCGCACACACCTGGGGTCATCTCTGGTCCGGCAAGGCAGTAAAATGCTACTCAGATAACCTTTGATATACCTTCAAGACCTTTTTAATGGGGTATGAAGACAAAAAAGGAGTGCTGTTAGGGCGCTCATCTTCCCTGACCATCATGCGGCTGATTCGCAAGTTGACCTGGCTGGCAGCATCCAATCAGTTTCACTTAGTATGTTCTCACATCCCGGGTATTCACAACACCGCCGCTGACGCTCTTTCTCGTTCTCGATTCCAGGCATTTTCTCAGGCACTCCCAGCAGCTCACCAACAGCCATCCAGGACACCACGGTTTCACGAACTAATATTGGATTAAGCACACTCTTGCTTCACGCTAGATCACTCACTCACCAAGCATTATCACCCAACACTGCTATCACTTACAATAGGGCACTTAACATATTTAACAAATTCACTGCAGAATTCGGGCTATAAGGTGACTTTTCTATCCAAACCATGGTGTCTTTTGCCACTTTTTGCCACCTACACCTTAATATGTCACACAACACCATTAAACTTTACCTCACCGGGGTTCAGCACCACAGCCTCACCAATTTTCCTAACAGCACTCCTTTTTTGTCTTCATACCCCATTAAAAAGGTCTTGAAAGGTATATCAAAGGTTTCACCACCACTCGCAAGCACTAGATTAGCCATAGACGGGCCTATCTTCAGGTCACTTAGCAATCTCCTTGACACAGCCCCATTTGATAGTGACACCAATACGGTGATAAAATCTGCCATATATCTCGCTTTCTACGGTTTTCTCAGACCTAGAGAGTTCACCGTGATTTGTCAAGGAGATATGGCACGATGCCTTAAAACTTCACACCTCACCAAGGTAGAGGATCACTACCTCCTTTCTATCCCTACCACGAAAACCAACCGATCAATACATCCCACTATAATTCCTCTCTTCCCTACTGATAATGCCTGGTGTCCGGTGAAAGTTCTCGACCAACTACGGTCAACTCTTCACACTCACCTGCCAGACTCTCCGCTCTTAACATTACAAGGGCACCCGCTTACCACGGCTAAATTGATGTTACATGTCAGAACCCTGTTATCTAAGCTCGGACACAACCCGGCTGCATTCTCCGGGCACTCCTTCCGCATAGGAGCCGCCTCAGCAGCCTCTAGCACAAACGCACCGGTCCACATCATCAAAAGGCTCGGGCGATGGAAATCCTCCATATATAACACATATATTCCGCAACCAGAGAAAGAGCTTCGCCAAGCTTTCAGGAACTTGGTCTTGTAAAATGCAATAAAGTGTGTATTTTCTTGAATTTATCTTTTTGCCCTCTTTTATTTACAGGCCCACTCGTACGTTGGTTTCGGCACACCACAACCAACTTTGCTCACAGATACTATCCATTACGTATTTAAATTCCGAGCACAAGTAGAAAGGCCATTAGGCCTGAATTTGTGGGAGGAGTAAGTCCCCTACTTAAACTCCCAGCCCCTACTCACCACTGCCGCTCAGCTGATTGTCCCCACCCACCTACACCCTGTTTTAACTACATTATCCTTGGTGGGCCCTCTTTTATTTACAGGCCCACTCGTACGTTGGTTTCGGCACACCACAACCAACTTTGCTCACAGATACTATCCATTACGTATTTAAATTCCGAGCACAAATATATATATATATATATATATACCTTATATATATATATATATGCATATATATATATATATATATATATATATTATCTGCCTCCGATAATGAGACAAATGAACCTGCACCTAAAACTCCCCTTTTTTTAGGAGCTACAGAAATGGGTACCTCCACTAGGAGTCGGGCAAAAGGAAACGCAGAACAAGAAGAAGCCGCAAAACTAAGAGCAATGCTGAAGGGCAAACCACCTCACAAGAAGTAATCCCCATCTTCAACTTATCCCATAGGCCGCTAATCAAAGACAAAATTGATTTGCTAAATCGTGGACTATCTTTTGTCCCCACGGCCAATGCCAACAAATTTCAATGGGATGTAGAGTGGTTCAAATTTGGCAGAAATTTGCGACTAAAAGAATATTTCAAGAAGACAAATGCAACTACAACGCTGTGCACTGATGAAGTAAAAGAAAAGATCTGCCTTAAATCAACCTTTGACCCTTCAACCAACAAAGCTTCCATTAAAACATACCTTTCATTAACGAATAAAGATGCACACGAAGCAATGTCTAAACCCTCTAAAGGATGACAGAATGTCACTAAATATCAATGCCAACTTATTAAGAACTTAGCAGAAGACAGTTCTATCGTGTGTCCAACTTGTCTGGTTACAACTACATGTCTGTTCGTCCACCCATTGTAAAGCGCTGTGGAATTTGACGGCGCTCTATAAATATCTATAAATATCATAATTATAATAATAATAATAAAGGAGGGGGCATTGTGCTCATGAATTATATCGACTATGCCAATGAGTTGAAGAGCCAATTGCAAGACACAGATACCTATTTTCCTCTTGACCATGACCCCACTATGGACTTCCAGCATGGCATCCATGATACTCTCTCTACGGGCCTAAGAGCAGGATTTATTAATGTGGATTTATTTCAATTTTTAAACCAAAAGCACCCACGTAGCCCTATCATCTATAGCATCCCGAAAATTCACAAGGATGCCCAGAATTCGTCATTCCACATGAAGGTGGCATAGAAGCCATGAGGCAGGTGCTTACAGCTTCAACAGTATATGAAGGGCCACCCATTGAATATATCTTTGGGATAATGGCGTTAACACTAGAACGGAATTATTTCCGGTTTGATGGTATCTCAGGTACATCGATGGGGGCGGCAATGGCCCCATGTATGCTAATGCATACATGTTCGCATATGAACAAAAGAATATCCTGATACCATATTGCAATCTAATACAGGGATACTATCGTTACATCAATGAACTATTTATTGTATGGAATGGCACCATATCTGAAGCATACACCATGGTAGAAGAACTCAACAAGCTCCCAACATCAATTAGAATGACGGCTAACATCAACAGCGAGAAGGTATAATATCTGGATGTGGAATTGTCGATTGGTATGAATAAAATAGAGTATAGTTTGTATACGAAGGCTACAGACCGTAATACCTTGTTACACGCACCGAGTGCTCACCCTATAGCACTAAAGACATCTCTTCCAAAAGCCTAATACCAAAGAGTTTGCACTAACGCCTGGTCGTAAGTGTGAGCCGTGGTAAAACAGGTAGGTCGCTAAATGAGGACCACCTGTATGTGTATAATATATTTATTTTCTTAGTTTTTTAGCAGCCTGGGGGACTGCCTGACAGCTCAGACAGTCCTCCTGCTTGCAGCTCCTAGAGTCCTATTGCGGTTATGTGATCATGGTGATCACATGGCCATGTAGGGCCAGGGAGGCTGGAGCTGCTGTAGGGGGACTGCTGGGTTCTCTGGCAGTCCTCCCTGACCGTGATCGATGCAGATCGTCGGTCCAGGGCTGCTATCGCGGATGTCCGGTCCCGGACGTCCTTAACGACCGTTTTTTGTTGGACGTTCCTAGTTTGTCCTCGGTCGTTAAGGGGAAATTATACATAGATATATATATAATTTAATTCTAAGTGTATTTTGATTTAAATATATATATATATATATATTCCAAAAAGGAAATTCAAGCCTTATATTTGACTGCCTGGTGGAGGTACCCATTTCTGTTGACTTAAAGAAACAGTTCTGTTGACTTAAAGAAACAGCGAAATTTCACATCTCTATTTTCATTAAACAGGGTGACATCCAAAACATTAATCTTTTTATTACTCCATTCTGGGGTGAATTTCAGGTTAAAAGAATTTTGATTTAAATAATTAACAAATGAATTAAACGTTTGAGGGGAACCCCTCCAGATAATTAGGATATCGTCTATGAAACACCACCAAAACACCAGACTCGCCCTCCAGTCATGGTCCGACCACACCCAAAGGTCCTCCCATTTCCTCATATATATGTTGGCATAACTGAGGGCAAATCTGGTGCCCATAGCGTTCCCTGTTTTCTGCAAAAAAAACTTTCCATTAAAAAAGAAATAATTGTGTTCCAGTATGAAATCTGACTGAACTCAAAATAAAATCTCTTATTCCCGGTTCCATGTTAGTATCTTCCCTTAAAAAACATTAGCCTATATGGTGTGAAAATTGACAATGTCTTTATTAACTATTCAGCACCATAAGTACACTCATTAACCGGATCTCTCCTCTTTACAGAGTGACTTGATTTCAAAATATATTTAGGGTAGGGTCCATAGGCTGTTCTTTCTGCAAGCTTTCAAAAAAATTGTATTTATAATTATGTGTACATGATATAGAGAGATATATACAGGAGAATGTAAAAACACATATAAAAGGATTAACTAGATTCCTACGAAAAATTTACAAAATTATAATTAATTGTTGAGTAAGTTAGGCAATGCCTAGTGTCAATAGGCTAAATTTAACAAATTGAACACTTGCTACAAGCCTGTTTCAATAGAGATATTGATTCATTGGTGTTAATATATTCATTTAGTGGTGTTAAAAAAAAAAAAATATTTAAGGTGGACTTTATTTGTATCTTCCTTAAAATTTAAAATACCATCTGTGTATTTAAGACTTCTGAGCAAATTAAGTAAGATGGGAAATTCATCCAACTCCCCAGTATGGTGTTAGAGTAGCCACTTCTAACCAGCATAATTTTTCACTCCTTGTGATGCTGTGCGACATTGCAGCATAAACTTTGACGCAGAACACGCTGTTTATCACCACAATAACACTGTGCCTCATTCCAGCATTGACTTTGACTCAGGACACTCTGTTTGTCACCATAATACTGTTATGATGATAGCTATCTTCCTACAATTCAGCACCATAGTGATGCATCGTTTCAGTGTCAGGAATGATGCTGAACGCTGTAATCGTACTGCCTTATATAACCACGTACGGAGTCATTTCAGCATCACATTTTATGCTGTCCTGGTGGTGTCCTGATGACTTCAGACCTATATAACCTTAGTCCACCAGGAGACCTGTGTCCTGCTGTAATGATCTGTTATAGCCCAAGAGTGTGTTTTGTGGTTTATTTTGATTATCCATTAATTGACTTTGGCTTGTTTTAGACTACTCTGCTCTCTTCAGTCCTGACCTTGGCTTGCTTACCTGTATTGTCGCTTTTATGTACTCTCTTGACCTCGGCCTGTTCGTTGACTATCCTTCCTATATATATTATGTTAGGGCCAGCCACATCTAAGGACCAGTAATACATACTGTCCTGTTAACTGTTCTGTATTTGCGTGTGGGATTCTGTATTATCATGGCCTGGCTGTTTTGGTCTAAATATTTTAAATTTGATATTTAAGTCACCCACCAATATTCTGAGCACAACAGTATGATCACTTACCATGAAATACTGACAGGATGAGCAATGTGAAAGCCTGTACTCTCAACAGTATTAACAGAAAATTTAATTCAGTCAGTCTGTCAGATGAAAGTTGGGGAAACAAGTTTAACAATGTCTTTTTTTTCCCTTCAAAAACTTTTACAAGGTAAAAAAAGACAAAAGGTTTAAATTTATTTAAATGTTGTATGTAAATGGGTGCAATAAATGCCTCCTGGGAGAATAATTATGAGAAATAATGCCTTCTGGGAGAAAATAAGCTATCCAATTAAGATTAAAGGGGGGTTCTAATTAACATAACCACTACAGCACACTGAGAAGCCAATTATCAGTAAGCCACTCTGACATTATTGTATTGTATACTGCCTTTCAAGGTCAATTCAGCTCAGTGAAAGGTGAAGAGAACAAGGGTGTGGATAAATATACAGGAGGGGAGAAGAAACACAGGTGTGGCTGAAGACCAAAAAGAAAAAGCTGAAAGACACAGGAGAGATTAAAAGATAAGAAAGAGGACTGCAGTCAGGTGTAGCAGAGTGATTCAGGGAGACTAAAGTATGCAGGATGAGGCTGAAAACCAGAACATGTAGGACATAGGTAGGCAACTTTTGGCCTCTTACAGCCATAATACTGGCAAAGCATCAAGGGAGATGTAGTCCACAACATCTGGAGTGCCGAAGGATGCCTACAACTGATGTAGGACATAAGAAATGGCAGAGAACTAGTTTTAAGCTATAAATGGATCACCGGTATCTGGCATGCATAAAAATATCCAAATTAAATTATGTATCTAACTGCAACCATTCAGCTATTTAGCATTATATAAATAGACCACTGACATTTCCTATTGTACAATAGACATTAATTATTTAATCTGCAATTATCTTGATGATACTGCTCTGTAAAGTGTTACAACCTGACAATAATCAGACCTGTCTGTTTCTGTATAATATACCCACAGATCTTACAAACCGGTTTGTCCTAAGTTAAAAACTCTTCTTGTATGTTTCAAAGTTGAACACAGACTTGATAAACTGCATTTTTATGTAACTGATATAATTTATTTCTAACACAATTGAAATGGAAAGCATAAATGTTTATAATAACATTATGAGAACAGGAAAAATGAGTCTGACACATATTAGATGATCTGTGTAGAGATGCCAAAAGCATGACTGACTCTTCTGAGGCAGAGTGAGTGCAAACTCCATACTGTACAATACAAACACAAAATAAAGGCCTCAAACCAAGAGAATGTCCTGTAAATTCAGAGCAAGCAGGATTCCAACAAAACACCTTCACCTATATGTTTCAAAAAGTTAATCTTTATAATAATTAAAGGGACCCTTCACTGTCCAAATGCAAAATTATGCATATCAGTACTTTTTTTTTTTTAAATCACCATTTAGTAGATGTACCACAATGAAAAAAATTGCATCCATTTAATTCTGCATTTTTTTAAATGGCGGTATATCTAAAAACAACTTGCAAAAGCTGCAGATCTCTTGCTATTAACCCCTTAAAGCATGGGTCCTCAAACTCTGGCCTCCCCAGATGTTGCTGAACTACAACTCCCATGATTCTTTGAATTACATATATAGCCAGAGAATCATGGGAGTTGTAGTTCAGCAACATCTGGGGGGCCGGAGTTTGAGGACCCATGCCTTAAAGACACATGCTGGTAATATTCCATCACGATTCCCTTTCTGAAGCTGTCTCCTTAAAGGACCACTATAGTGCCAGGAAAACATACTCGTTTTCCTGGCACTATAGTGCCCTGAGGGTGCCCCCACCCTCAGGGTCCCCCTCCCACCCGGCTCTGGAAGGGGGAAAGGGGGAAAAACGTACCTTTTTCCAGCGCTGGGCGGGGAGCTCTCCTCCTCCGATCCTCCTCTGTTCCTCCCCGTCGGCTGAATGCGCACGAGCGGCAAGAGCTGCGCGCGCATTCAGCCGGTCGCATAGGAAAGCATTCACAATACTTTCCTATGGACGCTGGCGTGCTCTCACTGTGAAAATCACAGTGAGAAGCACGCAAGCGCCTCTAGCGGCTGTCAATGAGACAGCAGCTAGAGGCTTTGGGGGAAGGCTTAACCCATTCATAAACATAGCAGTTTCTCTGAAACTGCTATGTTTATAAAAGAATGGGTTAATCCTAGCTGGACCCGGCACCCAGACCACTTCATTAAGCTGAAGTGGTCTGGGTGCCTAGAGTGGTCCTTTAAGGTGTTAATTAGCCTTGACATGCCCTCCCCTCTAAGGCTGTCCAATCTCAATGTAGCTCAAAGAGAAGTCTTTGTAAGGCAGGTGCTCTCTGCAATTGCTGCCTCTTGAGTTCTGCTCAACTGAGCTAAACAACAAGGAAGTAACAGGACTAGGTGTCTGATTACCAGCATGGGAGTATGGAGGTTAAAGCAACACTATAGAGTTAGGAATACAAAAGTTTATTCCTAATGTTACAGTGTCCCTATGCACTAACTAAATAAAGGGTTAAAAAAATGTAAAAGCATTGATTGCTTTCCTAAGGGGGATTTCAACACTCTGGATGTCCCCATGCAGAGCATGAGAACATGCTTTCAAACTTTTTTTTTTAACCCTTTATTTAGTTAGTGTAACTCTATAGTGTTGCTTTAACCTCCATACTCCCATGCTGGTAATCAGACACCTAGTCCTGTTACTTCCTTGTTGTTTAGCTCAGTTGAGCAGAACTCAAGAAGCAGCAATTGCAATCACAGAGTTCCTAATGTAGCTCAAAGAGAAGTCTTTGTAAGACCGGTGCCACTGTCTTACAAAGACTTCTCTTTGAGCTACATTTGGAACTATGTGATTTGGACAGCTTTAGAGAGAGGGCATGTCAAGGCTAATTAATAGCAAGACACCTGCAGCTTTTGAAAGTTGTTTTTAGATATACCGACCATTTTTAAAAATGCTAAATTAAATGGATGCAATTTTTTCAGTTGTGGTACATCTACTAAATGGTGATTTAAAATGTTTTATTGATATGCATAATTTTGCATTTGGGCAGTGAAGTGTCCCTTTAATTATTGTAAAGATTCACTTTTTGAAACATATAGGTGAAAGTGTTTTTTTGAGGACATCCAGTATTGTTCCACAGAGTCAGACTCTGTGAAACTCCAGGTATCGGCTCTATTGGCTGCCTAGTAGGCAACTACTAGCGGCAGTCTTAACTCTTTAATGTGAGCATTAAGTTTCTCAGAAAACAGAAATGTTTTACTTTGAAGGGTTAAGGGGACAGGGACTTTGCACCCAGACCACTTCAATGAGATGAAGTGGTCCGTGTGCCTATAATCAGGGCCGCCGTCAAAGGGGTGACAACCATGACTGTTGTCATGGGCCCAGCCACCCGGGGCCCACGTGTAGCGGCTGAACTGCCGCCAGTGCAGCATTTAGGGCCACCCGATCGGCCCAATATCTTCAGGGGCCTGGTCAGCGCTGCAGCTGTGTAATAGCTTTAAAAAAAATTGCAGCTGCAAGTGGTGCTGGGAGGAAGTGACGGCCAGTCACTTCCTCCCAGCTCACGCCACGCAGGTTGGAGAACGTGAAGAGGGAGAGCCCCCACCACCTCCCATCAGCTCAAGCCACCCCCTGCAACAAAAAGATAAGAAACAGGAGGGTGGCTGAAATGAGCTGTGTGTGTGTGTGTGTCTGTCTGTCTGTCTATGTATGTATGTATGTCTGTATGTCAGTATGTATGTATGTCAGTATGTCATTATGTATGTATGTATGTCTGTATGTCAGTAGGTATGTCTGTTTGAATATCTGTTTGCCAGTATGTGTGTGTCTGTATGTCCTTATGCATGTGTGTGTGTCTGTATGTATGTTAGTATGTGTCTGTGTCTACATATGTGTGTATTTCTGTTTCAGTATGTGTGTTAGTATGTATGCCTATATGTGAGTGTGTCTGTTTCAGTATATGTCTGGTTATATGTGTGTGTGAAAGTATGTGTGTATCTTTGTGTGTGTATCTGTGTCCTTTTGTATCAGTGCATGTGTTTGTGTGTGTATTCCTGTGGGTGGGATTTGGAGGTGGGCCCCGGAGGCAGGCTGTGTTAGGGGCCCCAACATTTCTGAAGGAGGCCCTGCCTATAATATCCCTTTAATTATAAAAGTGCCAATTTTTATTAGATTTTTTTTTTTTTTTTAAAGAGTTCACTCTCTTCACACATAAAACACATCAGCAAGCTAAAGTGCATTAGGTGTTTGGAGGGTCCCTATAAGGGAACACTATAGAAATACTATTACAAACATGAACAGTTGTGCTCAAAAGTTTGCCCACCTTTGGAGAATTGGTAATATATGTACCGTTTATTTTTATTTATTTTTTAAATTCTTTATTTGTGTATGAACTTACAGGTGGAGAGACAGACTTCATGCAAAAATGTATTACAACAAGGTTTAACAGAAGATGGTATAGATCGATACAATATTTTGCAAAGGGTTAACACATCCATGTGAATAAAGTTGTTAAATGTTGCGCACAGGCAACTAATTGTGCATCCCAGTGTTTTCCGTTCGTCCCCTCCCCCCTGATCCCTATTTTACATTGTGTTAACAATTTTTTTTTTTTTAAACCATTGTATTTGCTATGTAGGCCGTATGAAGTGGGTGGTGTAGAAAAAGACTAAGCGTGGTGTCGACATTTCTTGTCACAAAAACTACATTCTAAGTAGTTGCCCTTCCATGAGGCATAGGGCCACCTTCAGCATTTTAATTTCCAGGTGTCATGAGAAAAGAGAGACTGGGTGATTGACCTTAGTATGCTATGTTTGGGGTCAGTGGTAGAGATGTCGCGAACCGTCCGCGAACTTCTCGCGAACGGTTCGCCACGGTTCGCCACGAACTGTTCGCGGCGAACTCCGGTCAGCTGACACATCCCGGCCAATCTCCAGCAGACCCTCCCTCCCAGACCCTCCTACTTCCTGGACAGCATCCATGTTGAAACGTGGATGCTGTCCAGGAAGTAGGAGGGTCTGGGAGGGAGGGTCTGCTGGAGATTGGCCGGGATGTGTTTGCGGCGAACTCCGGTCAGCTGACACATCCTGGCCAATCTCCAGCAGACCCTCCCTCCCAGACCCTCCTACTTCCTGGACAGCATCCATGTTGGCCGGGATGTGTCAGCTGACCGGAGTTCGCCACGAACAGTTCGAGGCGAACCATGGCGAACCATTCGCGAGAAGTTCGCGGACGGTTCGCGACATCTCTAGTCAGTGGCGTACACAGGTCTATGACAGGAGAGAAAACTGAACACAGCGAAATACACATAAAAACCTTTTCCAAAGATCTCAGGATATCAAATTGGGTCAAAAGTTAACCTTTCAACAGGACAATGACATTAAGCACACAGCCAAGACATTGCAAGATTAGCTTTTTGATGACTCTGTAAATGTCCTTGAGTGGCTCAGCCAGAGCAAAGACTTAAACCCAATCAAAGATCTCCTGAAAGACCTGAAATGGCTGTCCACCAGGTAGATGAATGGCAAAAATTATCCAATTCCAGGTGTGCAAATTTTATGGCATCATACCCAAAAGAACTTAGGGCTGTAATCGCTATCAAAGGTGCTTCAACTAAGTAATGAGTTAAGAGTCTAAATACTTTTGACAATGTGATATTTAATTTTTTTTCTGTTTAACATATTTGCAATGGTGCCAAAAATCAGTTTTTTTTTGCTTTGTTATTATACAGTATAGAATGATGTGAAAAATTTAATAATTAAAACTGTTGTAGCATAAAACGGATACATAATTTTTCTTTAATAAAGTGAATACTTTGTGAATGCACTGTACTTGCGTACCGAGGCATTGCTAAAAGTAATCTTGCTTGTATCCACAAAGCACAGGAGTTGAGAACAATTCCGGAATAATGTATAATTGATTTTGATTCTGGGGTTAATCTAGTTTTAAAGTTCACTCTTAGCATTTTTGTACAGTTTAGTAAATGCAATACATATTTCTGTGTTACCCCTCCCTCCAAGTAGTGCATATGTGAAAGGGTGGGTAATTAGAAACAGGTTTTTCTTTTCCCCAGGTTGTTTTGCCTTATAACTTTAACCTCTCTTTTAAAGTAGCAGAAATGTCTTTAAGATGCACCTCAAGTGTAGACTCGAGCATTGGGCTATTAGGATAAGTGCAACTATTTCCTTAAAGGACCACTCTAGGCACCCAGACCACTTCAGCTTAATGAAGTGGTCTGGGTGCCAGGTCCAGCTAGGGTTAACCCATTCTTTTATAAACATAGCAGTTTCAGAGAAACTGCTATGTTTATGAATGGGTTAAGCCTTCCCCCAAAACCTCTAGCGGCTGTCTCATTGACAGCCGCTAGAGGCGCTTGCGTGCTTCTCACTGTGATTTTCACAGTGAGAGCACGCCAGCGTCCATAGGAAAGCATTGTAAATGCTTTCCTATGCGACCGGCTGAATGCGTGCGCAGCTCTTGCCGCGCGTGTGCATTCAGCCGACGAGGAGGAGGATCGGAGGAGGAGAGCTCCCTGCCCAGCGCTGGAAAAAGGTTAGTTTTAACCCCTTTCCCCCCTCCAGAGCCGGGCGGGAGGGGGACACTGAGGGTGGGGGCACCCTCAGGGCACTATAGTGCCAGGAAAACGAGTATGTTTTCCTGGCACCATAGTGGTCCTTTAAAGTGATTATCACACTAGATAGTTTTCAAAATAGATGTGCCTGTAGTAAATTACTTTTGCCTTTGGCAGGTAAAGACTAATGCCTTTTGATACTTACTTTCTTTTAATGGTTAATTATACTGTGAACCTCTGCTGTACAAACAGTATAATTAACCATAAAGAACCCCTAATGTGAGAACAGTCATTTACCCATATTTAGCAGTGTGGTATACACTCAGGTCCTTAGATATGGTGATTGGAACTCAGTAGTATACAACACTTATAGTGATAAAGGCATAATGAAGGTCTGGGGCAGGCATTTAATGGAATTAAAATTTTGTGGTTAACTACTTTCATTAACATTCCTATCTACATTTCTGTGTATGCCTTATAATGTTTTCCTTTCCATTTTATTTTTTCAACCAAATCAACATTGTAATTACTATGAAACCTGAATCCAACAGCAAAATCAAAACAATTGGACAGAAACACGAGAACAAAACTTTATAAACCACTGCTGGCAGTTAGTAATGCCCGGAATGGATTTAAATCGCCAAACTGGAAAAAAAGGCAATTTAGTCCTGGAAACTGGATGAAATGGAAGACTGTACTATTATCATTTGGCTATAACGGTCTGGGTTTATATTATCAGAATGGAAACTTTTTAAATTGGTTATTTCTTAAATAAGGTTACCATATCCAGAGGTTTGTTGTAGTGATCCAATGCAGATTCATCTTCTGGTTGGCTGACTCAAAGTTTACATTTAATCCCCACCATTATTATATGATGTCCTTAATTCTGAATGCACATAAGGCCAATGTCCCATTCGGTATAGTAAGTGCCTGTCTTGTAGGGCGCACTTGTTTTCAGGACTTATAACTGATGGGGAGAGATACGTGCCAGGAACCTTGGCTAGTGTCCTCTGCAGTCCAGTCAGCCTCCTATGCTTGATAGCAGAGTTTGCAGGAACAGTTAGAGAAGCTGTTCAGTTCCTCTGAGAAGGAGTAGAGAAGAAGTAGAAGGGATGTCTTCCCATCTTCCCAGTAACAGCATTTCATACAGAAAAAAATGCTTTGCAGGAGGAGTACTGACAGCAATGAGTGGTTTACACTTGTAACAGTTCCTACACCTCTGTTATCAATCATAGGAGACTGATAGGACTTCACCTATTTAGCAATTTTATAGCCTGTCTTGATAAGTTCTATAGGTATAGTAGATAGGATCTATTATTTTTAGGGGGGCAATTGCCCACGCATATCCTGTTAATGGGACCAGCCAGATTTAATTTTAGATATTTTTCCCACCGATGTCAAGGGCTTACATCAATTGGTATTTTTTACATTATATTTAATATTTTTTTAGATATTACTATTATAGAGTTTGTGTAACCTTTCTTTTATATGTTACTGACCAGATCACTTTCGTTATTTTGTTTCATTTACAACTATATTTTACACATTGTTACAATGTTTTATGGACATAGTGCGAGTGGAACGCATCACGTGAAAATTTAGAACACACATATCAGCTTGAGCAGTGGATTGAAGACAGAGCACACTGAAGTTTAAAGGCCTTCCCAAACGGATAATGGAGGAGGTGTTCCAGGGGCCGGAGAACAAGCCAACACCACCGGTTTGTCAAATGGAAAGAGACTTGAGGGCATTTACAGCTGGTTTTTATGCTGTACTTGTACTTTATTTGTTGCACGTGCATGTTTTATTTTATGTAAAGTCCCTGAGGAAGTCCACAAGGGTGGACGAAACGCATTGTACCGTTTCTATAGCTTATAATGCACTTTGTTTTTACATATTTGCACTCTATGTTCGGTAATAAAATTACTTTTATTTTATTACTTTGCCGGCTGAATTTTCTCCTGTGAGGATCCAGGAGTCCTGTACCAGTGGAAGCAAGCCGTGTAGCCCCTCAACTATCAGGGAAGGCACCATTGAGCCTTCACATCTGTCTACACCTTGTGAGTGCAAATGTATTTGCTAAACAGAGTTACACTATTGTTTTTTCCTATTTTTTTTTTCCAGATTTCAGCTGTTTTCCCAATTTGTTCTGTTTGTACATTTTGCTGTGTAAGAGAGCATAGGGAATAGGTCTTTGGGAAGGCTGCCACATATGTTCCATCAGTTTAGAAAGTTAATCATTTTTGAAAAAAAAATATTTGTGACTCCATCAGTGATGGTAAAATATTCGTAAGACTACAGAAGCCACAGGAAGGTGAGCTCTAAAAATAACCCATCAAACTCCACATGCTCTAAACAATCATTGTCCCTTAGCCTAATTTAACCCCTTACAAAAACCTAAACAATTTCTTTCCTAAGTCCCACATTTAAAGGGACACTACTTTAGTGAAGTGGTCTGTGTGCCATGTAGTTTTAGCCCTGCAACTGAAAATACTATGTTCTGCAGGGTTTAAATGTCTGCCAGCCACTAGAGGTGCTTCTGCAGAAATATCCAGATATATACCTGTGGCTTTCTTATCCAACTTTTGCCAGGATTGGTTTTCTGATTTTGATGCATGCTATGCTCCCAGTTATTCATTGTACTCATGCATACATAATTCTTCTCATTTCATTTAACAATGTTTTATTAAATACCTTTTAATAAAATCTTTCATTAAAAAAAAGTACATGAACCTACTTGATCAGTTCCATCGAATCAAAGATTTCTAACCAGAGTACTCTGCAAATTCAACCATGTGGTCCTAGCATTTACAATATACCACACTCAAGGTACACATCTTTTCAAGCCAGTTTTGAATGGGGAGTCACTGATTGGGTATCTGCTGGAGGCGACCACCGAGACGTTTCCTGGTAGGCTGCTCCTTTCTGGGGTCTGAGCTCTGGGTGAGTGGCTCTTTAGCCGCCCCCTCCCAGCACAGCTATTTCCTGTGCTGGGCTCCCTCTACTTTGATGGCGCCCGCCAATTATCTGCTGAGGGAGCAGGGTTTACTGAAAGCCTAGCACCCAAGCAGAAAGCAGCGGCCGTGTAGATTTCCTACAGGCAGGGGAAGCCGGGACATGAACTAGTATCCGGGCCGCCACCTGCCTGTGAACACAGGAAACACGCATGGCTCACCTGATCCCCAATTAGAAATAAAGGCATCTTCCTGAAGTTGGTTTCTTCTCCTCCAGTCACAGCACTAGCACAAGTTTGGCATATCTGGAGGAGAAGGATGCTGATCATTTTGTGTATTTTTGTAAATCGGTGTATGTGTTAAGTTGGTTTCTTTGAGTATGTGTAAATAAAGTGTGACTATGTAAACTATTGTGAGTGACATGAGGTTTGAATGTTGCATTCTTAATGATACATAATATAAATAAACACAAGACAACTTCTTTTATCCAATTTGTTTATTCAGTACTTCAATATTGTACCTTGGAGAATGGCCGTGAACCTTTATTACGGATTTCATAATTCCACTTTAAACATAAAACCATAATTTAAAACCAAACCAAAATATTAACCATTAAAACTTTCCACCATTAAAACTTTCCAACTTTCCAAGGCTCCGCCCCCCACCAAAGCCAGGAGCCATAAATTCCAAGGCTCCGCCCCCACCAAAGCCAGGAGCCATAAATATATATCATAAAACCAATTTTATAAGCCAAATCCACCCTCCTGTGTTGCCCAGGAGGGTGACTTATATCCCAACGCCACCGAGGTTCTGGGATACCAAACTCGGTGGCCCCCCACCGCCCACGGCCATCTCCAACATAGATTGAACACTTACCTTAAATATATATCCACACCAACATCGGACAAATGAAACGCGCATTCCTATATAAACCTGCGCAACTGCCCTCAATAACTGTGTCTTTAAAAAGACAACCGAAACTGCAAAAACTTTCTAACGCTCTATTTAAGCAGTTTGAATAGCCTTATTTTCATCCAGCATTGCCTTGGTATAATTTCCGACCAAATAAAATGAACATCTCAAATTTATAATTTTTTTTTTTTTTTTTTGCCACAAAAAACATATCCTTCTTAATTACTTACCACAAATTGACCGATTCTATTGACCCAATGTTGTTTCCTCCCAGATGAACCACTATCACAACTGGTTAAGGAAAACCAAGGTAAATTGTTGCAATAACTCAAATAAATGTGACCATTTCACACCACGAATACCATTGCCAAAATATTTTAACCACTGTGCTTCCAAACCAAGTTTTCACCATATGTTCGCTCTTGCGCCCTCTTCCGGGCCCATACCATAAACGAATAACTAATGACCCAGACAAAAGCCGGCTTCTTAAGACCTAACAAAAGAAGAAATTATTAGTATATGTACTAATTTCCATAAAACCCATAACTTTCATAAATACCAAGTAACCATTTACCAATAGAATATTTTATTTATTTATCGAATGAAGCCTGACATATACTTGAAATTGTTAGAGTCTCGGCTTCCCAACGTTTGACTGATTCCATCACTTCAACCACACCTTGCCGGTTTGTTTGCAGCTCCAATTCTAAAAGAACAAGATGAGTAACACTCCTTGCCCAACCAAATGATATAATTTTTTTTTATTTTTATTTATTTTTTTTAACCTTTATGAATTGAAATTAAGTTAAAGAATTAAATCAGCATGCATAAAATGGGCCCTTTACTCTTGGCCTTACTGATAACTGTTCTTCCGTCACTTTACAGGGCACAAAAGAAACTTTAATATTAAACAATGTCAACCATATGTCGTTTCCCTCTTGAACCGTTTAGGTTTTCTAATAGATATCAATACTCTTATTGTGCACCATAACATCCTCCAACAGCACACCCGATAAACAAAATTTACTCCTTGTATCAACTCACCAATCCTACAACTGAAAACTGATATAAACAGGCATCTAAATAACTAACTCAATGAAGAATAATATACGCCTTCAAAATCTTCCACTAACTGTGCCAAAACCGAAAATGTATTAGGTTTTCTATTATCCCTAACCTGACAAACTCTCCTACCACCTTTAACTAGCTGAACTATGAAATACTGTTTGATTGGTTTACCATCACACAGCTTCAGAAGAAATCCACCTTTGCTAAATCACTTGTAACTTTGATTTAGAAAAGCCCTTTCTGCATTACATGAACTATAAATTGCACTGCACTCTCCTTATCCTCTTCTAATGGAATTTTACCACTTACTTTTAAAATTCCCCGCTCATTCCATGCCCTTAACTTAAGAAAGAAAAACTGAAGCTGCCACTAAATTAATTATAAGAACACTTAACTGTCCCAAACTATACCCAAAGGTCTGATGAAAAATTGGATTCCTTTCGCTTCCCGAAACTTCTGTAATTTTAAACTTGATAGAGCATCAACCAGCCTTTTCATTTTCTTGGTATATGCCCGACTTTGCATTATTATTATTATTATTATTATTATTTTTTATTAGGTATTGAATTGCAGATACCTTAAAACCCAAATGCCTCAGCAAATTAACTACCCTTTTACACCAAAGACTGTAAGGAATTGAGTACCATCACTACACTCAAAGTATCACATAAATAGCAATCAATCGTCTACCTTTCCATACTCTCCCATAAGTATGGCTGCGATGGGGAATAACTCTAAACACGTTGAAATTATTTTCTAAAACCTTCTTGTTGGCCATTCTAGAGAAAACCCCCCTGTCCTTCCCACTGTGTACCGAAAACAATGCACCTGCTACATCAGTTAACAGCTCCAAATTATTAAATCTGTGAACTCCTTCTGTCACATTGATCCCCCATTAACTTTACAATATTTTTATTTATTTATTATTATTATTATTATTATTTTTTTTTTATACTTTAAGTCTTGTTTTAATTCTCTTGTTATTCCATTGTGAGCCGAGGGGGGGGGGGGGGGAGGTTAATGTTTGCCTTTGTTATACCGATTTTCTTGGAAAAAGGCTCTCCCCATTAGGATAACCCTTGATGCAAATACAACAAACCTAAGAGTGATTGCAGCACCTTAAAGTTACTTTTCCACAGCCCGTTACCTGTTTAATCAGCATCCTTATCTTCTTAATCCTTTCCTCCGGCAACCTAAATTCCATATTTCTTTTCTCTCTCTCTCTCTTTTTTTTTTTTAATCAGGAATTGTAGACAAGTAAATAATTGGATAAAATCGTCTTATCTGCTGCTAAAAGAATACGTAAATTATAAGTCACCTTTTGAAAAATTTCTAACAGGCTCTTATAGTTGCCACTCTCTTTGGAGCCCACAATAAAATCATCAAATAGTGCACTATTTTTCTCTGACCAGGCTTGAATCGAACTATCCATTCAATAACATCACAAATAACTCAAAGTAAGAACATGCAAGCACACGAAAAAAACTGGTAAGCACCTGCCGAAAATACGACCTTCAAATTGAAAAATTTACGAATTAAATGACTCGGACTAAATTGGTCAGAGTTAAAAGCAGCTATAATATTGCCTCCTCCCACATTCTATTACCACATTTAAAACTTATCAAAAGTTGAATATGACACTGAACTATCCTCCTTTAGAATCACGTCATTTAAATATTCTCACTTAAAATATAAGTGGTGTATCAATCTGAATGACCCTGGCTCCTTCTTTGGAACTAAACCCACGGAAATACTAAAACTTGCAAGGATGAACAGAGAAAGGACTTTCAATCCTGCCTAGCTTTAACTCTTTACAAATCTTTACCTACGCTATATATTTGGCAACTCTAAATTGATTTTTAACTTTAAATTATATACAGGTAACCGGAA